GAAGGATGGGCATGGAAGCCTCGCCAGTCTTCTCAGCAGAGGGCCTCCCAGCAGACTGGATTTATTGGACTTTTCATTTTCCCGCACCATTTGGATTTTCAAAGACTTTTTATTAGTTCAGCCTTTAAAGCAGAAACATGCAGCCAATTTGTTACAAACCACTGCAGCCTCAGTACCCCGAAGCCAAGAACAACCGCTCAACTCTTCCAACTTGGCTGCAAAGCAACATCTGTTAAGTCTCTTGCGCTCACCTCCCCAGCCAAAGAGACATCATACCTGCAGTGCAGGGATTTTGTGAAAAAAATGGAAATAGCGTATCGTATACGTCTTTTTTCCCAATATCTTTTGCTTTATGTTAATGCTTCTAGTTCAGGAGTGTCTGAAGTATTTCACAATGCTTAACAGAGCAAGGTTTGTCTCTTAGTTTTGGGTCATTGGTTAATTCACTAAGTGTTTGCTGAGCATATGTGTAAGATACGTGGCTCTAATCCCCACCAGGTAGTTGTTAGGTTGGCCTCTTCCTTTTGTGATGAGATCTTGTGTTTGTATTTTTTTTTTTTTTTTGGACTGCTCTGATCATGGTTCCATCAGATAAACAAATGCTGGAAATTAAGTTGCCAGTCTGGTCAATTTGTTATATGGCTTTTCAAATTGTTACATAGGGAGTTGATGTTCTTGGAAACAGAAGGAAGAAGTAGGGGTGCCTTATGAACCATTAGGTTTCAGTAAATATCACCTGCTTTTCACAACGTCCTGGGGTGAGGCATAGAATGAGGCATAGCATAAGCATAGATACGCTATGGTGTAGCATACCTGGAGGTGTAGGTCATCCAGCAGTCATGTGCAGGCAGATTTTGAGTGGAGATGATCCTCACACTGAAAACAACAAAATAGGAAGACCACATATGTGTCTCTGGGTAGTAATATACTATAGTATAGTGGGTGGATCTTAGATTCACCTGAAATCTTAAGCATCAACTACATTTTCTAGCCTTGGGATCATGCGTGTCTTAAATTTCTGAGCTTGAGTTTACTGAAAGTAATAGGAATGTTTGTGCTTGGAGTTGCTGAAAAATAATTAAGTGAGCTGCCGTAGGTGCTCATTAAATGTTGGCCTTTGCTTATGGCCACCACCTAAGAGGAAAATAAAAGAAGCAGAAAGCTCAGTTCTAGTTCTCAGAAGCTGGCAGTTCAGTCTGGGAGATGAGACACAGACTCTACATAAAACCACCAGAGTAAATGCCTCTGAGACAAAACTGAAATAGCGTGAGTTAACGTATTCTGTCCCCTCATCACTGCCAATTCTGGAAATGAAAGACTGATTTTCTTTAAAAAATGTGTTTATGGGACAGGCGCAGTGGCTCGTGCCTGTAATCCCAGCACTTTGGGAGGCCGAGGTGGGCGGATCACGAGGTCAGGAGTTCGAGACCAGCCTGGCCGATATGTTGAAACCCCGTCTCTACTAAAAATACAAAAATTAGCCAGGCATGGTGGCGTGTGCCTGTAGTCCCAGCTACTTGAGAGGCTGAGGCCAAGAACCGCTTGAACCCGGGAGGTGGAGGTTTCAGTGAGCCTAGATCATGCCATTGCACGCCAGCCTGGGCGACAGAGCAAGACTCCGTCTCAAAAAAAAAAAAAAAAAAAAAAAAAATGTGTTTATGCTTTTTGTTTTGTTTTGCTTTTTTGAGACAGGGTCTCGCTCTCTCACCCAGACTGGAGTGCTGTGGCATGATCATGACTCACTGCAGCCTCAAACTTGGGGGCTGGAGCAATTCTCCCACCTCAGCCTCTGGAGTAGCTGGGACCACAGGTGCACGCCACCATGCCTGGCTAATTTTTAAAATTGTTTTGTAGAGATGGGATCTCCCTATGTTTCCCAGGCTGATCTTGAACTCCTGGGCTCAACTGATCCTCCCGCCTCAACCTCCCAAAGAGCTGGGATTACAGGCCTGAGCCACTGCACCCAGCTGTGTGTTTACGCTTGATGTCCAGAAAGCTTTTTATGAAGCAACAACCCTTCTCTTTAGAGGAAATAAAATGCGTGGGTTTAAAATTAGGCCCAAACACACATCCTCACAAATATGCACACAAATATAGTGACTTTAAGGCTCCATTAGGATGTTCAGCTGGGAGTTGTGCAAATGTTTGATCCATCTGGTGACAGCTCATAGAATGTGTTATTTCCAATGTTTGCAAATAACAATCTAAATAGAAATATGCTTGAAGAGATTCTATTAATGTGTATGCACTGAAAAGCAATTTCCTTTCCATATTATATATTAAAAGAATTGAAAGCCTCCTTTGTATTTGCAATTGTATAAATGTCTTTATGCTATTTGAGGTGCAGGTCATGGCAGGAGAGCTTGAATGTGCCATTTGATAGTTCTTGGTCAATGCGAGTATAGTCTCTAGCAGGGGCCTCTTTTTGAAGTATTTCAAATTTTCATTGGTTTTATGCCAGCAAGTGGAAAAAGTAAGGGCTTTGCAGCTAGCGAGACTTAGGTTCTAATACATATCCTTTGGAACAAGGTGTTCAAAATTTGCTGGGATAGTGATGGTGATATTTGCATAGGAGACATGGAATCTTCTGCTATCAAGGATTGAGACGTTTTCCTTCTCATGTCAACTGCTATTAAAACGTCTCTGGGGGGCCGGGCGCGGTGGCTGATGCCTGTAATCCCAGCACTTTGGGAGGCCAAGGCGGGCGGATCACGAGTTCAGGGGATCGAGACCATCCTGGCTAACATGGTGAAACCCCGTCTCTACTAAAAATACAAAAAATTAGCCAGGCGTGGTGGCGGGTGCCTGTAGTCCTAGCTACTCGGGAGGCTGAGGCAGGAGAATGGCGTGAACCCGGGAGGCGGAGCTTGCAGTGAGCCAAGATAGCGCCACTGCACTCCAGCCTGGGCGACAGAGCGAGACTCCGTCTCAAAAACAAAACAAAACAAATCTCTGATGATTTAAATTGTTATTAAATGGAAAGCAGTGTAAAAAAGGCCACTGGAGACCTCCCTGGAAGAGGGGGCAATTTACTAGAAAGGCGAACCCCAGTGCCATTCCAGTGCCTCGGATTTCTTGGGAGAAGACAGCTCTGGATGCAGCTTGTGTCTGAAGCTGGAATCTCAAAGCTTATTCTTAGGTAGTGAGCTTAGCAATGTTTTGGAGGAAGTCTTAATGACTAACTGGGGTGTCTGTTGACTTTACATCTCACAAAGTTTCTGGTCTCATACATGGGGTAGTGTAGCTGCAGGTTGTTAGGTTAATTAGTTTCTGGGGGCAGTTGTGCTATTCTGAAACCTCGAGGTGGTGCTCGTGAGCTTTACTCCATTTGTGAAATTGCGGGAGGGAAGTGGAGGTCGGAGGGTGAAGGGCTAGGAAAAAGGTGAATCCTCCTGTGGTGGGGACTGATGGAGTGTTAAAGGAGTCAGTCCCCTTGGAGTGTTAAAGGAGTCAGTCATTGGAGATGTCTGATCACTCCTCTTCTTGCAGAAGCAATTAAATTAATTAATAGTATTGTTGGAACTTGTTCTGCCGTGGGTTCTGGTTTTCTCTATAGTCTTGAACTCCTGGGCTTAACTGATCCTCCCGCCTCAGCCTCCCAAAGAGCTGGGATTACAGGCATGAGCCACTTTCTCCTAGGTTCATACATACATCATCTCATTAAAACCACACAGATACATTAAAAATGAGATGATGTATGTATGAACCTAGGAGAAAGAAAAAGGAGTAAGTTATTTGACTAGCCTTCCACTTAAAGTGGGACTGCCCGTTGCTCAGGTGTCAGTGGCCTCTATTCCTGAACCCATGTACATTCCAATCCAGCTGCCCCTCTGGGAGCTCCTGCATCACTCAGTGTGTTTTTTGAGGAGACAAATGTAAACTTTTGGCCTTTTCATTGATCACTTTCCCTGTGCTAGATTGTCCTCAGTTGTAGAGAATTCAGAACTCTACATGGCATTGCTCACAACTTTCTGAATGAACTCAGACCTAAATCTCAACCTTAGAGAGTGTTGAGGACAAAAACATTACTTTTACCTGCTTTAGATGTTTGATGCTAAATTAAAGTGAGAAAATGCATATGGAAGTGCATTGCAATATGACTGTTTATTAGAAATGAAAGGACACAGAGCATACAGAGGGAAGCATTCTTAAGAGTTACTAGAAGACCAGAATCAAATTTAATATTCCCTTAAAGTAAATAAGTATTTCTGCATTAAAGCCCACCAATGAAGGACCATCAGGAACACATTTATTGCAGTACAAAGAAATTACATGTATTTTTCTTGCTGTTGCAAGACTGAAAGCACCTTAAAGAAATGATGAGGAGTTGGAAGAAGCTTGTCATAGTATGTGAGTGTGTGCTGGATGATTCAAGGGAGGATTGAGGAGGTGGGGAGCAATTCTGAATTGGATGTTTCAGGAAGCAGGAGCAATTTTGTGATTGAATATCGTAATCATTTTTATCTACGAGATAGAAGGACCACAGTGATTTTCCTTGGTGAGGTAAATGAGAAGCAGTCACTCATGTTAGACAGAAGAGGGGGCTGTTTTACTATTTTTGTGATTTCAGAGTGTACTTGTCTGTGTCTCCTTCCAAATATGGGATTGAAATGGATTTGTTTAGACCTTGTTTCTATTCTGTGATTGTGGTTTATATTCAATTGGAAATATCATGGCCTAGTTGCCAGCAGGTCTGCTTTTCATTTTCTTACCTGGTTTCAGGTATGAATATTTACTTTATCCCCTTTTCTGAAAGGCAAAGAAAGAAGTCATATTCTAGAAGGGGGCCAAGGCTGAACACTAAGATAGAGGGCCTCCACCTGGGCGTTGGAGATTGCTAAAGGACAAGAATTAAGTTACAAGAGCAAAATGGTAAACGAGGAATGGTAAATGCTCAAGGAGTGAACATACCAGAGAAGGTGCATGGGAGATGGCCCTGAAGAGGCTGAGCGTAACTCCTCCTGCAGGTGTGTTTTTACACAGGTATGCATAAGGAGCACATGGGTTCTTATGAGAACCACACAGATACATATAAGGAGCCCATGAGTACATACAGGGAGCACACAGGTATGAATAAGGAGGCCACAGGCACTTCTAAGAAGCACATGGGTACGTGTAAGGGGCCCACAAAGGGTGGATAGACTTTTTGTTTTCTGACTTCAAATGTAACAATTAGACTCCCACCCCAATGCCAAGGCAAAGTTTTTAACTTTACGTCCATATTACCTTCCTGTGATTCCTTACTTATAGTTTATGCCTATACATGTAATGTTCATTTTAATTTTTAACACTGGTTACTTTTGGGAAGTGATACCAAAATGTTTAGGGAGGTGTCATCACTCTTTGCATTATATACTTATATATTGTTTAAATTTTATGGGCTAATTTATTTTTAATTCAATTAGTACATTAAAAACAAAAAAGAAACAATTTAATAGTGGTGGTGGTGGAGGATCGTGTGATTTTTTTTGATGATGTTCTCTGAAGGATGATTTTTGAATTAATCTGTTTTTTTTTGAAGGGGAATTCAAAATTCCCTCTTATGGAGGGGATGGTGTAGGTGTCTTAGATCTGTTGAAAAGACAGTTTTGATGAGAAGCTAAAATTACGATTCTAATATAAGTGTAAAATGAAAAATATAAATGATTTTTATTTAATTCATTAACTAATGGGAACCAGTAAGATATACAGCCAATTCAGGAGAATTCAAAGAGCAGACACATATATTGGCAATGAGGAATGCTGAAATGAATTTGCTTAATAAATGCACAACTGGATTCTTGGAAGAAATGGATGTCATTTTGCACTTCTCCCTGGCAAAATTCATTTGCAGTCTGTGAACAGGAGTCATTTGCATTGCTTGCAGTGACCGATGTTTAGATTGTCCAGTTACAAGATGCACCACTGGACAGGACACCCAGTAATGTTATTTGCCCATTTCAAAGTTTTCAACATTTTTTTCTGCCAGCTCAGAATAACATTTGTTAAAAATAAGTCATTCCTCGCCGGGCACAGTGGCTCCCGCCTGTAATTCCAACATTTTGGAGGGCTGAGGCGGACGGATCACTTGAGGTCAGGAGTTGAGGCCAGCCTGGCCAATGTGGTAAAAGTCTATCTCTACTAAAAATACAAAAATTAGCTGGGTGTGGTGGCAGGTGCCTGTAGTCCCAGCTACTTGGGAAGTTGAGGCAGGAGTATTGCTTGAACCCAGGAGGCAAGGGCTTCAATAAGCCGAGATCATGCCACTGCACTCCAGCCTGGGTGATCCGTCTTAAAAACAAAACAAAACAAAACAAAACAAAACAAAACAAAACAAAACAAGTGATTCCTCCTGGTACCTGTACTTAAGATTACATACATAAAAAGAGAAAATGGGCCAGGCATGGCGGCTCACTCCTGTAATCCTAGCACTTTGGGAGGCCAAGGCAGGTGGATCATGAGGTCAGGAGTT